TTAAAAAAAATTGGCTCTTTGGTCAAAAAAGGTTCCCGACCCCTGGGCTAACTGCTAAAACACTTTGGTCAGAGTAGCAAAACCATGGCTATTTTATATTTTAATACATAGCTAGATCTCAAACAGTGGATAATTTATCATTGTTATATATCGTCATATTGCCCAGTAAAACTGCCCAGTGTAAAGAATTAAGCCATTATAGAGGTAACAGAACCTACTAGAAGGCTAAGCTGCTTTGAAACTATGTGTATTTTAGATGCTATGCAAATAAATACCTTGAACAAACAAGTTGAAGATTCTTACTATTAGAGATGCCGAACAACGATGCAAGCGATCAAATAAATGAATGAATGAAACTTAATCCGTACAAACAAGTGGCTGGGTAAACGAGCTGCCGCAAGATAACTTTTCCATATAGCATTTTCTTATTTGTAGTGTGAGGGCTTACAGTTTAATGCAAATCACTGTATATAATAAATCTACAGAGATCAAATATTAAGACACATCTAATTTGAGTTGTTTTACCATACCGAGTTTTAGTTTAACTTTCATCCGAGTTCCGTAGTGAATGTAGACATTATTTTATGTTTATGATTCAACTTAATATCGGATTAAATTTAAGATTAATTGGAATGATTACAGCTTACACTATCAACATAGCGTTAATCGAAAGCAGAGGTTTAATGCAGACATTGATAAGGGCTATACAATAGCCCTTTTCAATGTCTGCAGGAAATACCTCTGCTTTTACAGCTTTCTAACTCTGAAAAAAGCACGGGAAATGCTAACTTTAGCCTGATAGCACTGAAAGCGAACGTCCCATCCTCCCTGTAATCTCCGGTTAAAGCCACGCCCCCTGAACGCATATACACTCACAGACCAGAATATCAGAGACAACATTACTACTACAATACATCATGTGTCATTCATCGGTGAGAAAACTTTATAATACAGTTAGTAAAAGTACTACATTACCAGGAAGGATGTCTGCCATTCTCGCTTTGTCTGCACCGCGTGCGTGAACGCGCTGACGACGTATCCTGTCTGCGCGAACCAGGTGCGCAGAGGTATGCTAATACATATTTGACAGGCAGGTAGGAAAGCCAATTAAAACGCTCGGACCGAGCGTTTTGATTGGATGAACATTTCTTGGTCCTACGCCTTCCACAGAATATACAGATGCATATAAATACATTTAGACCACTTAAATTAATGATTGCTATGGGGATGTGAAGAGACTTTCAACCAGCATAACAAAAAATGTTTCTGAAGACAATCACCTATTGCACCTTTAAGTAGAATAATATAAGCATTAAATAATATCAAACGTCTACATTCACTATATTAGTTTCCGCTGTAGCTCCCGTGACCTTAATTCCCAGAATGCATTGCCGCTGTGACGAAACATTCCCATTCTCTATATGCTGAGAACATTTTGAAAATAACATCTAATCAATATAATCTATAATCTTTTAAAATCTAATTGTTTTGTACCATATCCGTGTAATTCTCTAGCCATAAAGGCTATCTTTCCCCCGGTTTTCTGCAACCATGATGTGCGCGCATCCCAAATGTTTACAAACCTATAATTGGTCTATAAGTTAACTCATTCCCCACCAGCGTTTTAAAAATCTGCAGCATTTTTGATTATTTTCACAAATGTTTCATGGTCCCCAAAATATTTTGTTGTATATATATTTGAACAGACAATAACAAAATAATTCTACTTCATGCATTCTTTTTTTGCTGGTAATTTTTAATTAGAAAGCAACATTTTGAGCAAAAGGCTGAGAAAACTGTGTTTTTGTCAAAGACTACAACACATGTATGAAATGATTCTATCACTTGTTTCTGCCTCTTTTCACTTGTTTTTTGAGATTCTATAACTCTTTCAGAAGACGAGAGCACCCCTACCATATAAAAACATGGATTGCCGAGAATGGCAGGGAAGCCTTGTCTCATAAATGACAGAAAAACTCTGTCAATGGTGGGAAAATAGTTAAAAAGCCCTACATGAACATGAAGGGCCCTTCTGTAAAAAATACAACAGGTTTTTGATATAGCTACATGTTTAAATTCATGTTAGTGTATCACAATTTTAAAAAGATTTGACAAAAGTAAGCTTTCTTTGTGAAAAGAACTATTTATGTCTGTAAGGGACCATTTGAAATGCTGCATTTATGTTTCTAATATAAGAAGCATGTATGAATTGTGTTGTGAAACATAAAACATTTGTAATTTGACAGATTTTTTTTCTCAAAACTTTGATGAAGAGTTTAGTGAAGGATTTTATGAATGCTCTGACTGATAGGCTATTAATCAGTATCAGCCTATACTAGCTTTTGATGACTCGAATGGTGGTGTCTTGTATTTGCAGATCTCTGACATTGCTAAAAGTGGTACCTACCTCACAAATATGACATGCTTGTGTAACTCACAATGGCAGTGTCTCAGTCTGCACTGCCAGACTGGTAAAATAATAGACAATACAAGAAGATAAGTTTTAATTCTTGCTTTATTAATTAACTTCTGACCGATTTACAATAACTGTAGGAGCTACTCAGTCTGTCTATAGGCTTGAAACGAACACAAGATCACATTTTTTCTTCCTATTTCATACCATGTCCCTTTAGGAGCTCCATGGAATCAGAACACAATAAAAGGTGAAAGGTTGATACAATCAATAATGACAATCAATGATTTAATTTTATACCATAAATCAAAATGATATATAAGAAAAATAAAAATCATACTTTTTGTTCTTTTGAAGCAAACTCAATATTTGAGTTAATCTCATTGTCTCAAGTCTTATACTTGAAACTGTTGGTTTTGAAGGTGAACTTTATTTGCTTTGACAACTTTGGATGTTTCTTTGCCTTGTCACTTGTGGCTGGTTAAGACTTTATGAAGTAGAGCTTTTATTGCTTGACATATTGTGTCAAGTTTGATGAGGACGCAGCATTGCACTTGAAGTGCAGGACCTGAACAGAAACTACTTAATGTGATTTCAGACATATGTTTTTTGTATGACGGAGAAGAGAAGATGATTGAGTGAAACTTTTCCCACATGAAAAGCAGTAATACGGCTTCTCTCCAGTGTGTGTCCTTTCATGTCTTTTCCAAGATCCAAATTGACTGAATCTCTTGTCACAGTGTGAACACTTGTAAGGTTTTTCTCCAGTGTGACTTCTCTGGTGCTGTTTCAGTCCAGCATCTGTAATAAAGGTCTTCCCGCAATCAGAGCATATATGATCCTTCACACCGCTGTGACTTTTCTGGTGTACTTTTAAAACACTTAGCCGTGAAAAACTCTTTCCACACAAAGAACACATGTGAGGTTTCTCCTTTGTATGAATTTTCAGGTGTAACTTTAGGGATTTTGCCCCAGAATAGCTTTTTCCACACTGATCACAGTTGACGATCAAAAATTGTCTTACTTCAGAATGAGAATTCAGATGTGATTTCAAATTACTTAGATTTGCAAAACTCTTCCAACACTTATCACACACATATGGCTTCTCTCCAGTGTGGATCTTCATGTGTTCAGTAAGGTTTCCTTTCTGTGTGAAACTCTTCCCACACTGATCACATGTGTACGGCTTCACTCCATTATGACTTCTCAAGTGAACTTTTAAAACTTTTTTGTAGGCAAAACTCTTCCCGCACTGACCACATTTAAAAGGCTTCTCTCCGGTGTGGATTCTCATGTGATCCTTTAAGGCATTGTTTTGTGTGAAACTCTTCCCACACTGATCACACGTGTAAGGCTTCTCTCCACTATGAACTCTCATGTGAAGTTTAAGACTTTGTTTGTTAATGCAACTATTTCCACACTGAGGACAAGTGCACTTTTTGGCTGTTCTTCTCTGTAAGAAATTGCTTTTAGTCTGTGAGCGACTCAAATGACCAGTTTTGGCATGTTTCTGCTCCGCTTCACTCAGATATTCGCTCTCCTCGCTCTCTTCCATCAGATCTAAATTGAAAGTAAAGGTTTAACTTTAAGTAAATCATGAATTCAAAGACAGAAATGTAAAGGGAAATGACATTTGCTATAGAAAATTATGATTGTTTTGATGATTTTTTATAAATTAATATAATATAACATAATATAAATTAATGTCTCTGCAACTTTAATTGGATATATTGATCTTCTAATTATTGTTTTTAAAACATTATAATCACAAATCCCATGTTTTGTAGAAAGAACTATTAAATGTTTAAATATAATATTGACATTGATTATAACTATTTAATAATACCATAACTTAAAAAAAACTGAGATGGCAAACATGAACATGGTTTGTGTACGATTAGCAACACATTATTAGCTCTTTGATAACATTGCCAAGACAAAGGCTTATGATCTTATATACATCCCTGTATAATTCACTCTTCCTCTTCTGAATCAGTTCCTGGTTTAAACATTGTTGAATTAATTATATTATCATATTCATTAAAATATGAATATTTTCTAGTAATTAGAAGATTATAAAATCAGTGTAAGATAAAGAACTCATGATATTTACCCTGACCTCCTCATGTTCACAATGATTATGAATGTTTGCTCCTTTCACTGATCCTTTGCTTGAAAAAAATTTGTTTCAGGCTCCAGTTTCTACCCAGTTCATAAAAAGTGTTTGGTATATTATTTATATAATATTATTTTACAGCTTTTAGGACTTTTCTAATTACAACCACTAAATCTAATAAAACTGTTTTAAGTTCTATAACCCTAATGATCTTCAGCATCATAAATGAAGAATCAGCAATAAACACCAACCTCTTTGTTCTTCAGGATCTTCATGTTCCATTCTGCAGGATTCTGGATCACTCATGTTCTCAGTGTTCTTTCATGAACTGTCTTCTTCACTTGTGGGCTGGTGGGGAGATTCCAGCATTTATTAGGGAATTGTGGGAGGAGCTTCACTGGTGAGTTGTTGTGGGAGGAGACTCACAAAAGGTGGATTGCTGTGCTTAAAGAAAAGCAGATCTGCCAACATCCAAAATAAAGGAGTTACTGAATCAGTTACACACAGTTTAAGCATTTATGTTTTGTGTTTATCTATCAATTTATGAAAATGTAACATTTAGTTATTACTTATTTCTGTTTTGTTTGTGAATCATCTAACTATTTCATTCCATTTTTATCCTTTTACCAACCGTACACAAAACCGTGAACAAAAGAAAAGAGATATAGAAAAATATACATTCATACCACAATTAAAATAATCCAAATATAAAGTATGAATAATAAAACAGAAGAAAACATTATAAATGTACAGATTTGTAAAGCAACAAATAGCACATACTCCAACTGAGTGCAATGTCATGTAGTTTTTGTTAATTGGATTTTACATTATTTTTTTCTTGTTTTTATATGAAACGGGGTTTATCACAGACTATAAAGAAATAAATGTTTTTAAAAGATTTATATCTTGGTATGAAAAGTGGTGATCACATAGTTGGCCTCAATAGCCGTGTTTCCACTGTCAGGCGAAAAGCGGGCGTGCTAGTGCGTGCCAGGGCCCGTCACGTTTCCACTGTCACTTATGGTGCTTGATCGTGCCTCGTCGGTGCTTCCTCAGGGCCAACGGCCTGGGTTTTTTGGCCCGATGAAAACCTTGGGCCAAAGCGGGCCAGCTGGGGCTAGAGGAGTGGTTATGAACAAAGGCGGAGTTTCTCTGCGTCTGGAGAGCGCCAGCGCCGCGGATCATTTCATAAAGTTAACAGCTAACACCAGCATTAAAGACTTTTAAAATAATTTTAGCTTTCAGACAGCAGCGAGTGTTTGAAATAACTTCTGTTTGAGATCCGATGTGGATTGTAATCACCATACAAGGCAGAAATATTTACAAACGATGCAAAAGACTATGCACGCTAGCCATTAGTAAATATGGTAAATAGCCTACTACCGCTTGAAGAAATCAGACGTCAGCTTCTCATTCAGACCATCACAATCGTGTATTTATTTAGTAACATATTTGATCTGTCTCTTCTCGAGACGTTAGCTCCGCGTAGCTATGTCATAAAAAATATCATTAAAATAATTTTTGTTCGGGAGCTTCCTCTGCTACTCAGGTCGTATTTTTTGATGGAAAGAATATAGAAATTATTCTTATTAAATGTGATGTATACTGTGTAGGGCTGCACGATAAATCGAAATGGAATCGAGATCGCGATTCGACAGAAGCTGCGATTGTCATGCGTATCTTTCAAGTGAAGCACGGTTCTGTGATCAGCAGTAAATCTCCATCCAAAGGCCAGAGGGCGCTCTCGCGCTGAAACTCCAAATACGCCTCGCAGAAGAAACCCAGAAAATGCTGCAGCTGAATAAACAGAAGATTCAACTGCTGTCATTGATTCAACGTGACTCACTGGATGTAAACAGCGTATGCTATTCTGTGTCAGCTGCATCACACGGATATGTTTTCTACGTTGTTGCGCTTTAATCTGAACGAAAACAACGTATCCGTGTTGTATCCGTATGTGTGTGGGTCTGTCTGTCTGTCTGTACTTGTTTATATGATTTATCAAGACACAAATTTGTATGATTATATGGGTGTTACACTGCTATAATAACATAAATGCAGTTTATGAGGATAGTCATTATGATTAAAATACAAACATACTAAACAATGTTTTATTTAAAATGCAAATATACAGAAAGATTTGTGTGATGGCTATACAGTTTGTACTGTAAAAAATCAGTACACCTATGGAGTGTCCCCAGAAAACATAAAAACCAACATGTGTGTGTGTGTGTAAAATACTGTGTGTGTTTGTGTGAAGTTTTCTGTGAAACTGCTTTGCACCTATTTGTTTTGTGAAAAGCTATACAAATAAACGTGAATTTAATTTGATTGAATTATGTCTATGGAAAGCCTCTAAAAAACATGGGCATTTGACATGTCTGGACATGTCGGGGCCCACACTAGCCCTTATCGTTTGCCTACTAAAATATATATTTTTTCCCTTTAGCCTACTTATTTCAACATCGCTGGTTCCTCACTACAATCGACCGATAACTTTTTCTAACATGACAAACTCTTTTTCCCGCTCCTGGTAAAATGTACAACATTTTTATATTTTTAGCGATGCCTAAAACGAGTGTAAATGTTTGAATCTCTATAATTAATCAAGGAGTAAGCTAAGCAGCTGCCAGATGACCGGTGTTGTTTTTAAAATATTTTTCATCCTTATGCGACATCACAGGTCAAGCAGCACTGTAAAACCGAACAGTGAAATTAATTAAATGAAATGAGTTAACTTCACTCAAATAATAATGAAAGTTAATTGGACTTAATTGAAATAAGTTCTGTAAATTTAAAATGTTGTTGTAGTAAGGTGAACTTAAAATTATTGCGTTTTCTAGTTCCCAGCATGCTTTGCATCAGACAACAAGGAAAATAAATGTAGAAATTAAGTGTTATTTTGTGTGTTTTTACACAAGATTAACATAGAGAGACATAAGTTAGTACTTAAATGTTGTGTTATGTTAGGATTTACATAGGTTTCTGTTATGTTGGTTTTATAGTGTTACCGTTGTGGTGAAGAGTAGAGCCTGTGGTTAGGTTGAGAATGGACAGCAAAAATTTAAGACTATTTCTGTTGCATGTTGTATGACTATTTGCAAGGATTGTGAGTGTGTAAGATAACCTCATTAATACGTGCTAATATGCCGTTGCAATCTAGCACTTAACTATTAAGATCTGAATGAATGTGCTGTTAATGGAAGCAAGTTATATTTAATTGACTTTGTGATGCGTTTGTGATGAGTGGGGTGGGATCATGGAAGGGAGGCTTGGCTTGGCTCCCATGGCTCTCAGCCCTGCCCCACTTGTCATAAAAATGTTAAACTCTACTAACTTAAAAAAATTGAGTTTGTTTACTCAAATATTTTAAGACAATCAGTTTCCACAAATGTTTTGAGTATTCTTAACTTATCAGGTTTTACAGTGAGGGTGAATGTATTCAGACATCCAGCCGTAACTTAATATTTTCAGCCTCATTTCTAATTTTCTCCGTATGGGGAACTGATATTGTATACCTCCTCTCCTCTCACGAATATATACAATATATTCACAGAGTGGACCCCCATGTCTCGCCAACATCTGGCAACTGACACACAGAACCCTTATGATCAGTTTTAATAAGTTAAAGTAAACACAGTGACCACCAGGAACACCCTCTCTCTCACGCGTATTGGGTTACATAGGGTTCCTCCGTTTGTGACTTAAAACAACCACAGATCCCCTCTCAGTCTGCCTGTGTGTGCGCATACCCCCACTACCCCCGACTGACTCCCATTTCACTCTGCCAGCTAGTGTCACAAATTCAGCCTCTGTGGCTCCCTCCGATCACCACCAGAGGGAACCATCACCGGAGTACTGAGCGATCCTTTCGGACTCCAGTTCCCACAATGCCGCATGCCAGAGACTAATCACCTGCACAGGTGTTTCCTATTACCCGGTCTATTTAAACTGTGCCTTCCCTGCTCTCATTGCCAAGTCTTGTTTTGCCTTGCAGACATTTCTGAGTGTTATCCCTGTGTTGATTAGCTGTTGATTACCTGGACTGTTTACGATTGCTTGCTGCCTACCTCTTCTGACCCTGCCTGCCTTGTTGATTCATGCCATTGTTTGTCTGCCGCCTGCCTTGACCCTGATCACAAACACTGTTTACGATTCTGCCCAGCCTTCGTTGTGTCTAACACCAGTTACCGATCTTTGCCTGTATGACCTGCCTTGTGAACTAATAAAGCTGCACATGGATCCTAACGCCACTGCCTCTTTGTTACAGCTAGACATGTAAAAAAGCTCTCTGCACTCTGAGATTTTATAATTCAGCTT